CACTTACAATTAATCCACTGGGAGGGAGTCAGATCCGAGAGGGAATCTTCGGCTGGGAGAAAACAAGAGCGGCAATATGAATGGCGGTCTGAGAAGCGCCCCCTACTTCTGCGAGTCGTCTCTGATTGGCTGATCCGTCTAGTGCCCTCTTTCTGGGGCCCTAATGAAAAATAACACGGGATTTACTTATCATCAAAAATATTTCGAAAACGAGGAAAAATTAATGCGTCGGAGATTTCAGAAACCGATTCTTCAGATTTTTTTGAAGAGATTGATATGGGTTATGCATGAGACTTTTCTTTCAAGCACACCGAACACTTGGACCTGGAATTTGGTTTCTTCACGACAACAAGTGTCAAAATTTCAAGTTGAAAAAACGAAATTCCATAGGTCAAATTGTTCGGTGTGACTGAGAAAAAAGTGTCACGTATTACCCACCCATCAATCCCCTCAGAAAAATCTTGAGAATTGATTTTTAAAATCTCCGTCGCAAAAATATTACCTTGTTTTCGAGATATCTACGATGAAAAATGAACCCCAGGTTATTTTCCACAAGAGCCGTAGGAAGTGAGCACCAGGTGGTCAGCCAATCAGAGGAGACTCTCAAAAGTAGGGGGTGCCACTCAGCCCGAAATTCATATTGCGGCTCTTGTATTCTCTTTGAAATTGGGAGAACATCCACTTACAAGTTTAAGTCAAAAAAAGAGACATGAATAAAACATAAAAAACTTTGGCATTTTGAACACAACTAAATAATGAACATTTTTGTAGTATCAAATGGGGTATGCAGCAAACTACAAAAAATGACAAATTTAAGATGACCAGGCACGGATGCTCGAGGGAATCCAGTACCATTCGAATCAATGCCCGTAATATGGTCGAAAGATTCGAATGGTACTGGATTCCCCTAAGCCAAGTGACGTGGTCGACGTAGCATGTGATAAATCGCTTCGATTGGGTCAAAAATCTCAGCAGATTTTGAATTTTCAGCAAAAAAAGGATGATAGCCCCTGCGCATGAGCCTAAAGAATCATTTTAAACCCCAAAATTGGCACAATTCAGAGAAATAAAATCAGAATAGTGTCAGGAAAAAAACCTCGTATTTGATTCAGCTATCGATTTCTGTATCAAATGTGAGATTTTTTTCCCGTGCACAATTCTGCTTTCATTTCTCTGAATTTTGCCAAATTTTGGGTTTAGAATGATACTTTAGGCTAATGCGCTGGGGCTATCGTCCCTTTATGGCTAAAAATTCAAAATCTGCGGAGCTTTTTTGACCGAATCAATGCGATATATCGCAGACCAGTTCGACCACGTGACTTGAGCTCGACGAATCACCTTGCGAAAATGAGGGAGGGAAAAAAGAGGAAGACAGGAAGGAATAGCGTGGATAAATGGCACCGAACTGTGAGGAGCTTGAGCGAGTTAAAGATCATGCAAAAGAATAGAATCGGAAAAGGATAAGGTTAAACGGTGAATGCAATGGGAGAAAAAGTTAATTGATAAGAGAAGGGCTACAGGGAGGAATCAGGAGCTGATTAGAGGAAGGTGAAAATAATGAGGCAAACGCTTGACATGCATTAGAGGAAAAGTTGAGGCCGCAAATTACAAGTGCGGGACAGAAGATGAGAACACAACATAGGAGGGGAGTGGTGATGTGAGGAGAATGTTTAAGATGATTCGTCAAGCTCAAGTGACGTGGTCGAACTGGCATGCGATATATCGCAACGAATAGGTCAAAAATCTCGGTAGATTTTGAATTTTTAGCAAAAAAAAAANAAAAAAAAAAAAAAAAAAAAAAAAAAAAAAAAAAAAAAAAAAAAAAAAACACGACAACCCTTGCGCATGATCTTGAAGAATCATTCTAAACCCAAAAATAGGCAAAATTCGGAGAAATGAAATCAGAATAGTGTAGGGGAAAAAATCTCGCATTCGATTCGGCTATCGATTTCTGTATCGAATGCGAGGTTTTTTCCGTACACAATTCTGCTTTCATTTCTCTGAATTTTGACAATTTTGGGGTTCGGAATAATTCTTTGGACTCATGCGCAGGGGCAGAGGGGCTGTTATCTTTTTTCAGCAAAAAATTCAATATCTGCCGAGATTTTTTACCTAATCGAAGCAATATGTCGCATGCCAATTCGACCACGTTACTGAGCTCGACGAGTCAAGAGTCGACGAGTCGACCTTAAAGAAAAACGGCAAATAAAAGTCGGCCGACAGTGCCTGGAGGAATTTGGATTTTTAACACCTCTTTCACGTCAGAGACCCGGGTGAGGGAAGTGGTTCCAGTGAAATGCTAATTTTTTTTCTCTTCGTTTCAGCCTTATTTTTTCGGCTTCGATAATTGTTTTAAATTCAGGCTGAAGTACAGTCTAGGGACTACTGACCATATTTTAGACCTCAGTACTGGATACCTGCGAATTTTTGAACGTCACTATAGGCCTACTACCTACTCGTTGAAAATCATTGAAACAAACCAGATCGGCACCGACAGTCTGGTCTGGTGAACGAAAATGTTCAAAAAAGGGTACCGTACAAAAATTTTGGAGAACATTTGTTTTTAAAAGAATGTACGTAAGTGTACATCGGGAACTACAAGAAGGAAGAAACGACTGAACAAAAATGTTCGCAAATGTTCAAAAAAGAAAGAAGCATCATTTGAAAAATCAGCTATTTGACATCCTTCCTTCTATCAGGGCATTAACCATAGCGAGTACTAACGAAACGAAAATCCTCATGAAACAGTTCTTCTTTTTCTGACGGATGGACTTGAAGCAACCTACCATCATTAAGGAGGAGGAGGAGGAGGGGGGGGGG